GGCTAATTTTTTGATTTATTGTAGAGATGAGGTCTCGCCAAGTTGCCCAGGCGAGTCTCGAACCCTCACTCACCTCAGCCTCCCAAAGGCGCGGGATTACAGGCTGAGCCACCAAGCCTGGCTGAGATGCATGTTTTTAAGAAAGTACTCTGCACTTGTAATCCCAACACTTTGGGAGGCAGAGGCAAGAGGAATTCCTGAGCCCAGGAGTTTGAGACCAGTTTGTGATTTACTGCAGAGACAACTTGATGAGACCTCCTCTCTACAGTAAATCAAAAAATTAGCCAGGTACTGTGGCTCGCGCCTATAGTTCCAGCTACTTGGAAGGTTGAAGCAAAAGAATTGCCTGAGCCTAGCATGTTGAGGCTGCGGTGGCCATGAGCATGACACTACACTCCAGCCTAGGTGACAGAGTGAGACTCCAACTAAAAAAAAAAAAAAAAGAAAGTACTCTGAAGAATGAGAAATGGAGTTGGGTAGGGGAATAAGAAAGGAAGAAGGGGGCCAGGCACAGTGACTATAATTCTAGCACTTTGGGAGTCTGAGGTGGGCGAATCCTTGAGCCCAGGAGTTTGAGACTAACCTTGATAGCCTAGTGAGACCCTACCTCTACAACAATTTTTTTTTAAGTTGAAGTTTTACTCTGTCACCCAGACTGGAGTGCAGTGGCAAACTCACAGCCTCCACAGCCTCGACCTGCTGGACTCAGGTGATCCTTCCACCTCAGTCTTCCAAGTAGCTGGAACTACAGGCACGCCACCACGTCTGGCTAATTTTTTGATTTATTGTAGAGACAAGGTCTCGCCGTGTTGCTCAAGCTGATCTTGAACCCCTGGGCTCAGGAAATCCTCTCACCTCTGCCTCCCAAAGTGCTGGGATTACAGGAGTGAACTGCACCCTGCACCCAGCCAAAAAAAAATTTTTTTAAGTAGCTGGGTGTGGTAGCCTGTGCCTGTAATGCAAGCTACTCAGAAGGTTGGGGCAGAAGGATCACTTGGGCTTAGGAATTTGAGGCTGCAATGAGTCATCATTGTGCCACTGCTCTTTTTATATGACAGGACAAGATCCTGCCTCTAAAAAAGAGGAAGAAGGTAAGCAGGGGCCACTTGGAAGCCCGTTGCAATGATCCAAGCAAAGAAGTAATGGTGACTTGCAGGCAGAGGTGACAGTGCAGGCAGAGGGGAAGGGCATAGCTTCAGAATATATTTAGCCCTTCTAAAGGAGTTTTACTCCTTTTCTAAGAACACTGTTTCCTCTGAAAGGAGAGAAGGGCACTGGTGATAATATAGCCTGGAGGAAGGTGGTCCTCTCACATAGCATCTCGGGAGGCCAGGCTTGACACTGGAAAGGAAGGAGAAACTAGATGACAAACCTCATGCCATCAAACCCTGCCTTCCTTTTACTTCTGCCCAGGCCAGCACACTCAGTGTTTAATAAACATTGCAACCAGGTGCGGTGGCTCACGCACTTTGGGAGGCCTAGTTGAGAGGATTGCCTGAGCCTAGGGGTTCAAGACTAGCTTGGGCAACTTGGTGAGACCTCACCTCTACAATAAATTTAAAAATTAGCCAGACAGGGTAGTGTGTGCCTGTGGTTCCACTACTTGGAAGGCTGAGATGGAAGGATCGCCTGAGCTCAACAGGTCAAGGCTGCAGTGGCTGTGAGCGTGCCACTGCACTCCAGCCTGGGCAACAGAGTGAGACTCTGACTCAAAAAAATAAGAAATAAATGAATACATAAACATTGCATATACAAGTGTATATGAGGGCTCCACTAGCTCCCTAGAATTGTGGGGTACTTGGAAGCCGGGGGACTGACTGCATGGTGCTACTCTGAGCACAGGGCCTACCCTTAGTGGGTCCAGGTCAAAGAAAGAACACAGTTTTATTGGGAACTGCATCCTCTGTGGAGGACCACAGAGGGAAAGGGAGCCCGGTCTTGAGATATTCCAAGCCAGTTGAGAGAGCACAACTCACACCTTTGATGTACTAATCTGGGACTAGAGGATGGGATAAGGAGAGGCTGAATGTCCAGCACTAACCTTTGCCACAGTTTCTTCCTGGATCCTCACCATTGCCCTGCAAGATGGCTCCCTTGTGCCCGCTTTGCAGGTGGGAAACTGAGGCTCCAGGCTTCAGAGGCCTATTGCTAAATAAGAACACAGGAAATGTACCAACCCCAGTGGAAGAGCTGCCTGGTCTTTGGGGTCCTCTCCTGCTCTAAAATTTTTATTCTGGCAGGGCATGTTAGCTCAGCCTGTAATCCCAGCACTTTGGGAGGCCGAGGTGAGAGGATTATCTGAGCCCAGGGGTTCAAGACCAGCCTGGGTAACATGGTGAGACCTCGTCTCTACACTAAATCACAAAGACTAGCCGAGCGTGGTGGCATGCGTCTGTAGTTCCAGTTACTTGGAAGACTGAGATGGAAGGATCACCAGGGCCCAGAGGCTGCGGTGGCTGTGAGTGTGCCACTGCACTCCAGCATGGGCGAGAGGGTGCAACTCTAACTCAAATAAATACATAAATAAATAAATTTTTCATTGTTCCCTATAGCAGGCCTGGCTTCTTTCTGGTCACACCAGCTCCCTTTCACTGAGTCAAACCCTGTTCATTCAGACTCTGCCATTCTGTGCTACCTCTTCAAGCCTCCTTTCAGAAGCAGCCTCCTCTTCCTCCTTCTCCTCCTCCTCCTCTTCCTGTACCCCTTCTGCTCACACTTACCACATGCCGTTCCTTCCTCCAGGCACCATGTGGTCCTGGGTGCTCACCTACTAGGCCTCAGGCCCAGGTCCAGAGAGGGAAATACACAAGAAGCACCTGCACCCAAGGAGCTCGCAGCATCCTGGGACAGCACCAAGAAAAACACCAGAGAGTGGCAAGGATTTGGTGAAGTTTGGCTGAGGAGGAACCTAGAAGAAGGGCCAGGGATGAAAGGAGTTCCCTAAGCAGAAGAACAAGGAAGAGAAAGTACTCTGCTGAAGCAGGAAAAGGCCAATAAGGCACTTGAATGTGATACAAACAACTGGGGATTTGGACATTTACACAAGTCACTGAGTTCATTGACCCCACAGAACAGTACTAAGATGTTCTTTTTGACAGGAGAAGAAACTGAGGCCCTGGGAGAAGGAA